ATATATATATATATATATATATATATATATACGGTATTAAATAATAACTCATATTTAAACCTATACATTTTTACATTGTTCATTAAGAGATGGCGCCACATTTGAAAATTGTACTTGTTTTTTTTTAAATATGACCTTCCAGTAAACTACTAGAAATTCAGTGATAATATACTTTATTTCTCTTCCTTGAGGTTTCCCTAATTTTTGGTTTCCCCTAAAAGAGAGTGTAGTGGTATAATGTACAAAAAACATTACATATTTCTATAGTTGTTTCAATAAAAATATATCTCGCTTTAAAAAATGAAATGTTCCAACATCACTGCAGGATGAGAAATATAAACATAATTTCAAATATCATTCCTGAAAGCAGGTATACTTTTAAACTATAAAGATATAAAGAATTTAATTTATAACAGGAATATCACTTCCAGATATTTCAACTGTTTATAAAGTTTGCCTTATTCGCGGGTTCGAATCTCCGTCCCATCAAACATGTTCGCCCTTTCAGCCGTGTGGGCATTATTATGTTTCGGTCAATCCCACTATTCACACCAACAAACTCATATACTTCCGTTTTACACTTACTGTCCAGCCTCCTCCATCAGTGTCCATATCACAGTAAACATTAATACTTCCGGTAAACATCCATGACTTGGGCCAGATACGGTACACTCCACTAGTACGGTGTCCATTAATGAAAACATTTGTACAATCTGTTGGTCCAGGAGAGGTTGGAAGACATTCCAGTTTCTCTGAATATAAACCATGGAAAATAAGACTAAAATATGTTTACAAAATAACTCTAGACACCTGACAACATAAGAAGGTATCGTAACTGATGTATTTTGGTATGATCAAAACATTAATAAACATTTTGCATTACATAACATTGTAACATAAAGTGTTTATGTTCCAGTATTTATTGGTTTTAGACTTTATCAGACAAATAAAGAAGACCATGTCATACAGTCGCTGTGTATTTACTGTTTAGCTTCTGTAACCAGTAGATTTATTGAACCCAGTACACTTGATACTGATATCAGTTGACATTGGTTGAAGTTCGTCTCTATCTGACAACTCTGATGAACCAGAAGAAGAAGAATCATCACAGGCTTTATAGTGATCATAATTTGGCAAATTTTATGTATCATCCTGAAACAATACTTATGGGTTACTTAGTGTTACAATCGTACTTGTTTATCTCTTGATATATTGATTCTAACTATCAATAAGTCTTCCTCCTAAAAGCTAACTCTTCATTAGTAACTTGAACTTAAGTGTAGAAATTCTTGTAGCGCCATCTGGTGAGAAAAATCACACACAAAATAAGAGTGTTTTAAAGGATCAAAAGTATCTGTCTTTAGATCCAAAGAAAACACTAAAACAGGCATGATGATTAAAGTAGTATCATCAGTTGTAGCCTTGAAACATGAAGGTAAATATAAGTAAATAGATTAGGTATGATTATCATCAGTTGACATTTAAACACATAGAATACTAATATACTAAAGAATTTTTATATTTAGACAGATTAGAATTACTTCTGTTTAATGATGCATTTGAAATAGTTAAGATGCTCAGCGACTGTGTGAACCTAAATATAATTAACATGTTTCTAGCATTAAAAGTTCTATTTATTCCTGAATCATTCACGAAGATTAGATACTAATCTTACACTTGAAATTATTCCAGTAGGCGAACCTATATCTAATTAACATATTTCTAACATTAAAAGTTCTAATTTATTCCCGAATCATTCATGAAGATTACATACTAATCTTACACTTGAACTTATTCTAGTACGTTTATGTTAGAACTATTAGAGACTGTTTTTTTTAAGAACTATCTGTAGATTTAATAGAAAC